GGCGTTTACATAATATCTGACAAACGAATCTAAAACAGCGGAAGGAATTCGGGTAAAAAAGGTCGATGTTGTCACGCTTAATTATAGAAAAGCAAAGTTGCTCGATATTACCTATAAATTGAATATATTTTAGTTCATTTCAGCATACATAATTATATATATGCTAATATGTTGACGTAGTTCTTATTGTAATAATGTATATTTATCTAATTAACTGATTTCGTTCATTCTGCCTATTATAAAAGGTAAAGTATTTCCTTAAGGTAACGTCTGCTTAGGGTAAGCTGGCAACGATGACAAAATTCATCATGGCATCCCGGATTCAACCAGTCTGATTGGTGGAGATTCTCGCATGTCTTGTCGCCATTACCTCCAACTTTATGCCCCTCTCTAGGAATAGTAGAAACAGTCACTATGTGTGTTTTATATCTTTAGCTTGATTTGTGTTTATTGTAATTAGTACACGCGTTTTAACAAATATTACTATATTTGGCAAATGACTAAACAAAATGTAGGTACATTTAAAGTAAAATAATATTACAAACTTTACTGGAAAATATTATAAAAATTCCTGATATATTTTTATGAAACCCCGCACGCTCGTGGATATTTTATGAATGAAATCGGTCATGATTTTAGAAAATTACGATCCCCTTGCCGTTGCCCCGTTGTTTCAGATCCGTTTGTCAGACTGTAGGGGTGAGTCGTTATGGCAATCTAGTAAGTCGGACTGAGCAAAAATACGAAGTATTTATTACATAACTACTTAACCTGACGCTAGATTCCATGCGTTTGGGAAAATACCAGAGAAATAGAAGGGATAGAGAATGAGCGTCAACATGCGCTGAAGGTCTAATCAAGTTGGGCGCCATATTCCAGGTCTTCGTGTCATTTTGTATATAGGTGGTAATCTATAAGTAATCAAATATCAATTTGCTGTTTTCAACCATACGGGGGGCAATTTAAATTTAGTGAAATTCTATCATTTATTATGGTTAGTTAACATTAATATGATTTATTTAATTATCAGTTTCAAAACTGCGTACAATATTGGTATATAATACAAATACACTAAATATACGAATATTCTGACAAAAGGCGCTACGGACAGATGACCTTTTCGTCGTTAAACACTCGAAATGATATTAAATAATTACAATATTTCATGTTTACTTGTACTGAATTACGTGTTTCAATTTAAAATTTTTTGCAATTTGGTAAAATTGTTCTAAACAACTTTTTGTTCAAGTTGTATATTCATAAAAAACATTTGGTTCATAATTATTTTTGATGATTGCCTACCTTGTATTTTTAATATAAACCTAGAAAAAATATGTTTTTGTTTTATTTTTTTTATTCGTCCCTTCAAATTGTGTTTCTAAAACTGTTACATAACATGTCCTCTAACAAATATTTTCATAATACATAAACATCATTGATTTTATTAAGGGTATTATTATTAGTATTTATCCTGGTTTTTGTCGACAATAAAAACTCAATCTTGTAATAGAACATTTTAATATTCGAACAATTTTATATTTCGTAAAATTATTTTGATACAAATTCAATTTGTCAAAATTCAAGTCATTAATATATTGATAAACAACCCAAATTATTCCTAAATATTTTATTATAAAAAAAAACTGTTACCGGTAAGTTTGTAAAACACATTATGGTTTGTCGTAATACTAGAAAAAATCATTTATTTTTTGCACAAAAGAAGCTTGTCGATCATTATTTGTCCATAACAAAATTCTGTATGTACAACATACATATACCTAATTTATTATTAAGAAAATTAGATTATATGATCTCAGAATTTTAAGAAATTTTTTTAAGCTAAAATAGTTTCTTCTCAACTGTAATATTGTCAACTTTGGCCTGTATTTTATCTATTTAAAAACATGGGATTGACAATCTCCTTACTAAAATACACACTGGAAGGTACCGATTAAGTTTCATTGCATCAAATACCTTTGCTATAAATCCTGGCTCACAATTTAAGGCCATTGCAAAATGCTTTTGAACTTCATCATAGATTTTACAAGAATAAAAGTGTAATATTGAAACAAAGTAACATTGTAAGCTTCATGACTAATAGTCTCATTTTTAACACTTTTTAACTATCTCGTTAACAATTATGAATATTATATGATTTTTCTCAGCGATTTGTGGTACAGATACAAATTAATATATGCCCCATAACAGTTTTTAAATAAGAAACTTCTGCCTACAGATTTAATTTTCTTATTGGCATAATACCCTTTCTTCCTATATAAATCTTGCCATTTTTTCAGTCCAATGTTCCTTGTTTTTACAATTGTAGGAATACTAAAAATGTTGACTATAGAACTTGATACTATGTTTGAAAAGCCTTCATACCTGTAACTGTGCATAAATCTAATTAACTGAATTCTCCTCCTCTTGACACTCTGAACACTGCTGCTGCTAATGTTAGAAATATTTAGCACAAAACTACAACTACCTACAACAAACTTTACAATAAAAATGTTAAATTTTCGCTGTTCGATTAAAATACCCTATCTTATGTTTTCTTTTCCTCCAAATAATCTTCTTGTCAAGTAAGGACCAATCTTATTTGACATATTTCTGGTACACTTGAACTTGTGCTTTCATGGACACTATAAGAGTGCACTGTTTTACAGAAGCACGAACATTGATTCCAAGTATCTTCTTCCTCCACACGTAATAAAAACATCCTCTTTAAATGGCCACATCATACACTTATTTTTGACCATTCCCAATTACAATCACGATTTTTACAAATCGCCTTTAGGAAAACTAAAAATAAACAGTTTTGGATCATCTGTAAACACGATTATGTTGTATAAACTTACACATGAAAACTAATCATTTTTCCCGGCGTATTAGCTTTCTTAGAATGACTATGACAATATACAACAAGCCTTTTTGAATTAGTGTTTAGAATAATTGAGGTAATAATAAATTTTAACTAGATAACCACACAAACGAAAAAAAAACAAAACAAACAGATGTCAATTAAAGAGGGGAAGTGACAGCGAGACCTAGAAGATGTCTGCCATCTTGCCGTCGACAAAAATTTGGATGCGCACTCGTCGAAGCTCATTCTCCCACTTCCATATCTCTGGAAAATACTCGTCTTCTGTCTTTATTCAGTATATCTTATTTTACTAAGCGTGTTGACCGTACCATTCGTACACATGAAAACCGGCACCCAAGATCAGAATTGCCGACCATTAGTATAAATCTTGCCTTGATTTTTTTTGTTAGGCAGACAGATTTGTTTTTTCATTTTATTTTTTCGATTTGCATCAATTAAGCCTTACTATATCTTAAAAATCAATACACTTATTTGATAAAGAATTATTATTAATGGTTAATTGTACTTTTGGTACCTATTAAGATATTGCTTTATTTTTTCTGGATAACACCGATAACGCATGGATTATGAATCAGTGTATACACAATATTTTTACGCATTTAATTTTTATTTTTAGCTGTTTCATTATTTTTTAATACTTAATAAGATTTACCTTTAAACTGTTATTTGATTTTAAGTTATTTAACTAAATTTAACAAAGACCTTAAATTGTTTGTGTAGATAATTCTGTTTCAAGATTTATATTATATTAATTTGCTGTCAGGTCAGCTATTCTAACTTCTTACTATTAACTATTAGATTTTTCATTAGGTAGCTAGGTTTCTTTTCAAGTTTCTGCATTTCTACGTGTCAGTATTGTTACTAGACGCAGTTTTACTAACAAAACTGATGTATTGTCAACTTAGTTTTTCGTAAGAGATTTGTTAAACATATCAGAAATTATAGGCTTTTATGGCGTCAAGTATATAGTTTCTTCTTCTTTCCTCAAGATTACTTTAAAGAAGCATCGAAATCAAGAAAGAAAAATAGGATAAATTTACCCAACGAGTGCATCAGTACATAAATACAGTTTGATGAAAAAAATATTACGTTTGTATATTACATTATAGTTTTGTATATTACCCGCTAAAAGATGGAATGGAAAAAAACTTAAAAATAAATTTAAAAAAAGTTAACAAAAAAAATGCCAAAAAATTAAAAAAACAAAAAAATTACTGAAAACTCTCATGGTGCAAAAGTACTATTTGCAAGTACATATGTATGGTTTTGTGTGGTTTGGACTTGTTTCAATTCAAATTCAAATGTCAAAAGTTGACATATGAAATGCCATTCTATTCAAAGTGACATTTTCTATAGGTATAATAAAGTAGAAATATACCGAGGGTGCCATTTAAAAATCAAAAGTTGTAGACATTTTCGGTGAAACAGGTCATCAAAAACAATTGAATACGTCAATTAATCCTATTTTATGTCAAATACCAACATACCAAATCCCGTTTTTTATCTGAAAAAATAAAAAAATTATAGGGGGTAAGCTACTTTTAAGATGCACCCGGTATATTAGGAAGAAAACAATTTTAAACATGCGTTTTGGCAAATCGAATATAATATATTAAATTTTTTGAATAATAATGGTTAACGAAATATCCACAAGAGTCGTCACAGTTTAAAGTTAATATTCGGTGACAGAGTTTTATTATCCCAGCCTACTCGTTTATAGACAGATGGCATTCAAGAACTATTCTAGAACAAAAAATATTCTAGGACATCCTGTGGTGTTAAATATGTCACCTTGAAAGATTTTGGCGGATCAACGGAATAATTTTTATGGTGAATATTTTTTCGCATAATTCATATAAATAATACTTAAAAATCAATACACTTATTATATTACAATAAAATGTGATTGGTTCATTCACACTTTTGACATTTATCAGTTTGTTTTATCTCGATAAGTGCGATAACGCAACTTAGTATGATTCAAGCGCGCCAATATTAAATGTACGCACTTAATAAAGAAGTACACACAATTAAACAATTCCTTTGTTTCCTTAATACTATAAAACAACTTATCCAATTAAAATAAACAAATAAATAAAACATTGCGTCAACTTACATCATCCTCCACATAGGCATCTCGAAGGCTGTCGAACAAAATTTCCTCGAGGATTTTCTTCTGTAAACGGTAATGAAAACAGTCTTATTCAAAATGCTGTGGAAAAACTTATTCTGACGCTGATAGAAATTATTATAATTCGCACCACTTTGAACAACTGCGGGCATAGTCAATTTACGGGTTTCGAGAAAATCGCGCAGCGAGGAAAACCGAGAATTTTCTGGAAAGATTCGTGGAAAATTGTTTTGGAAAACTTTACTGGAAGTTTTCTGGAATTATTCCGATCTGAACAGTCGCGTAAGAGGATGGGGAATAAAGCGCCAGTGGCCGGTTTTATATTATTAGTCTGCTGACAACGCGGTTTTGTGTTGTTGGCTGGTGCGATGATGCCAGCTTGAAATTATCGGCGTAAAATACTAGAATTTTATGAATTTTTATAGTTTTAACGTAAAATAATGTAATATTTAGGTTTCAAGATTATTTAGAGTTATATTGTTAATTTGATTTTGTGAATAATTGAAGCAGCCATATTGAGGACTGCACTTAACTAACTGGTTCAAATAGTTTGGTTGAGTGGCTAATGGATGATACTGAACGTTTGTCATATCATTAGCATCCATTATATTATTTTCAGTTTGTCCTGATGAGATAAAGTGTTTGACTTTTATCATAAACATCTTCTCTTCTTAAGGTGCCGTGCAGATTCTTGCGTAGGCGTTCATCTTTTTGCTTTCTCAGATGGTTCTATTTATGAGGCAGCGACTTAGAGTACTTGGAAGTCCTGGTATGCCTGTCCAATGACGAATATTTCTCAGCCAGGATAGCTTCCTCCGGTTTATTCCTCTTTTGCCCCCCCCCTCGGTTTTACCCTGGAGATTTGGACGCTGAAAGTGATAGCGTTCTCTTCGTAGTATGTGTCCCAAATAGGCTATTTTCCTCTTCTTGATGATTTCGAAGAGTTCACGTTCTTCTAGACCAGCTCTTCTGAGAATGTTTTCATTCCTCACATGGTCGGCCCAGGTTACTCTTAGCATTCATCGTAGGGTCCACATTTCGAAGGCTTTAATTCTGTTTATTGTTGTTACCTTCAGTGTCCACGCTTCCAAACCATATAACAAAACGGACCAGTCATAGCACTTCACCAATTTGTATCTAAGGCCGAAGTTCAAGTTCCTATCTGTGAGAAACATTCGTAGTTTTAAAAAGTTGTTCTTGTTTGCTCGATCCTGCATTTGATCTCCTGATCTGGATCCCACTTTTGGTTAACTATGCATCCTAAGTATTTAAATTGTGTGACCTGCTTGATGACCTCTCCATTTAAGCAAATTTTGGTGTTCGGAATGTTGTTTCTGCTGACAGCCATAAATTTAGTTTTTCTAGTATTAATGTTTAAACCCAGTTTTTGGCTTTCATTGTTAACTTTATTTAGAAGGATTTGGAGATCATTTGCATTGTCTGCCAATATCACTGTGTCATCCGCATACCGGATATTATTAATTGGAATGCCATTTATCTTCAAACCAATGGGACAGATATTGACTCAGTGAATGCTCTTTCCACATACAAGTTAAACAACATTGGAGACAGAATACACCCCATGAATCATAAACATACATAATTTAAACAGACTTCTTACTTCTTTAGATTTAATTGGTTTTATAATAAACTCGCAATTTTTATTTACTTGTAGATAGAAATCTTAAGTGCCTATTTATAACAATAGTTATTATTGGGAGGGAAAACGATATTTTAAATTTTGTTTTTCTGTCTATAAAATATTTTTTATTTATGAAATTGAATTTGAAAAGTATTTTAACAAATAATAACTTAAATAATTGAGATTTTCAGTTTGCATCTCTAAATATCTGTTATTTTAGTGATAAGGAATTATAATCTTTTAAATTAAATTTGCGAAAAAGAAAGTATTTGTTGAAAAAATATGTGTGCTTTAATCTTATCATATGCCTATAGTAGACCGTATTTATTATTGAATTAGGTATTTAGTTTAAGAGGTTGCAAGGTTAAATTTTGAAGATCTTTAATGAATTTGTGAGGCAATCATTAAAACACATTTTTTTTATGAGTGTTAAAGCTAAAATATTAATTTTTGTTTGATAAATTAAGATAATTATATTAGTGCTTAATATTTTTATTTAAAAAGTATTACTTAGTATTATTATACCGTATGATCGAGAAAAAACGGCATCAGCGATGGCTATGAAATGAAGATCGCTGTCATTTTATATGTAAATTTATATGGGGAATGTCATCGATCGTCATTTCCCAGCCAACTGGACGCCGTTTTTTTTCGATCATACGGTATTATTACTCTACGACAATGCCATTATGACACATTTAACATTGTCATTTGGATGTCATTATGTCTTTCATAATAGCACTAGTGCTATTATGAATTCATAATAACACGCAAATTTTAAAATAAGAAACAAGCAAAAAAAGGTACCTAAATACGTTTATTTATTGTAAACATTAATTATAATATCAGTACAATTGGTTAAATTAATTCCAGACGATGACAAGTGAGTTGAATTTTTAGAAAGTAAATTTATTTCCTGAGTGCTTGAACTTGTTGAAGACCCATCATTGCCAGAAATGTTACAAAAAATATTACATGACACTTTTTTCTTATTTTCTTTGAAATTTTCTATATAGCTCTCTGCCACTGTGTTAGAGCGCCAACCACCATGTCTTTGAACAGTTAATAAATCCACTTCTGAATCTGCAAGCAACGACGCAGACGATCTACGGAAACAATGTCCAGTGTATTGTTGTGGATCTGGAAGACTTAGGAACAATGCTATTTTATACAGCATTTTCCCTAAAGTATTAATGCCAACGGGTTGCTTAATACATTTTCTATTTCTGTACCCCACAAAAAATCGAGTATGTTCTGTGTTGCTTGACCGCATAGCTCTTCGCATAGCATCTTCGAACCATTTCCACCATTTATTCCTTCAACATTCCCTTTCGTTATAAAAAAATCTCGTGATATCTTTCTTTTCGTAAATGGAATAATGACATGAATTCATTGTCCTTCATCTTTAACATTTTGCAGCTGCAGATTTGTCAACTCGATACGCCGGCAGGCTCCTCCAAAACCAAACCAAACCACGCCCCACTATCAATGAAACTTTTGTCAGGAAATAAGTTTTATCATCAGCTTCCAACAAAAAACGAGTTATGTTTATTAAAAAACGAGTCATATTAATAACTATAATGTTGAATATTTTAGTTAACTGAAATTTTAATTCAAAAGTAAATTGTTTCTTTCTGTCCGATTTTGGATTCTTCTATCTAAATATGACTAGTCCTTTCTGTCCAAGACCAAGCCTGGCCTGGTATAAGTTTTGGTATTGCAGTCTAATGGTAGTCTTTAGTCTTTGTCTTGTAGGGTCCTGTATTGGTTTTGGTTTTGGTCTTGACTCTAGAAAAACTTATTAAAATTTTTGGCCGTCGAAAATTTTTATTTTTCAATATATTATATTGAATCAGTTTTTTTTTTCTCTAAAAAGTTATGCAACGGTAGGGAAAACACTATTTGTAATAAATTAAAACAATAAAAATAAGTACGTAATATCTTAAATCAGATTAACGTGAAAAAAATGCAAGACACCAAGAATGACTGCATGCTTTTCCTTGGTCTGCGTCTTGTCTTGTGGAAGTTTTGCATGGTTGGTTTTGGTCTTGTTGTGGCAGATCAAACGCTAGTCTTGGTGTTCTTTGTGCAAGACTAAGACCAATACCAGTCTCGCTCATCATTAGTCCTTGTACTTAGGATACAAACATAGTGGGACATTTAATTTTGCCGCGATGCTCGCCACGATGCTTATATCACATTCCGCCGCGCACTATAACATCGCATCGAGACGAAATGCTCCACTATGTTTGTACCATTATTATTATTTTATTTTTTCATTTTTAAATATTGATTTGTCTTGATTATTTTATCTGTATTTGTTCGATATAAATAAACACTTAATCAAACAATTTGGCAATAACGCATTGCTTGCGATACAACTATTTGTTGTTAAAAACCACGTTGTTCATATTAGTCACAATCACAACTTTTATTGTTTATTATGATTGTGGTTAAGGAGTAAATATAGACGTGTTCGACGTGTATTTTACAGTATTTGTAAATATAATAAATTGAAATATTTTTCACTGTACGTGGATATCGCAAATGACCTATATCTATAGTGAAAAATTGGTAAAAATGAAAAAATCTGAGATCAAAATCAAGCTGATCTGATTTGATCTGTAAAGGGAGATGGGCGTTGTCTAAGTGGCTAGCTAGTAGCTATCCTAGTTTTGAAAAGGTCTTAATATAACTCAGGTGTCTGCCACTCACATTAGGCCACACTATATCTCGAATGGACTTTTTGGTTGATAACAGTGCTGGGCGGTCACAAGTACCATACGATCGAAAAAAAATGGCGTCAAAGATGGCTGGGGAATCACAATCAATGATAATGTTGGCGAGGTCAAGCCTAGGCGTCATTACTTGGCCAGTACTTTTCTTTATTTTTTAATGGCGCTTACCGCTGCCAAATTTTCTTAGGAAGATTGGAATTTATTTTAATATTAAAAACATTATTTTTAAATGGTGTGGTTTAAAATTTGAGAAAAATAATGTTTTGGAACTAGATTTGTGTGTCTTTAAACGTTCTATCTTTTTTTAATCTTTGTGTTATTATTGTTAATTTTTAACATGAGGTTTTATGTCAATTTTTAGTATATGACGTCTAGAGATCGATCTCACCAAAATTACTATCGATTGTCATTCCACAGCCGTCTTTGATGCCGTTTTTTTTTCGATCATACATCTTGTCAATCATACATATGATTTCGACCATACATTGTCTTGTCTTTCTGTGTACATTCACAGTAAAGTGACATGTGACAGCTTAATTTTTTGTTTAATCGTATAGCACTTTTATACAATAAAAATTTAATTAATCCGAATTATTATGAAATATTATACCGGGTGCGTCTCAAAAGTGGCTCACCCCTATAACTTTTTTATTTTTACAGATAAAAAAACGAGATTTGGTATGTTAGTATATGACATAAATTAGGATTGATTTCGGTCACTTCCGTATACGATTGTTTTCGGTCACTTCCTGTTTCACCGGAAATGACTACAACTCTTGATTTTTAAATGGCACTCTCGGTATTTTTTTACTTTATTCTATAGAAAATAACACTCTGAACAGAATGACATATCATATGTCAACTTTTGACATTTTCGCATATGGTTTATTTGAAATTATAACTTGCGGTTTGTAACGAAAATTTTACTCC